GTCAGTACAAATTTGAACGAAATGATTCGCTGAATCAAATACAGACCCAATGAACACAAAGAAGAATTTTCTTTAACTAAAATTCCAAACAAGTTCATACAAGCAATTACAAATTTTACTTATACTGAATAATTCAAAAGAATGAAACAATGTGAATGAGAGGAAAGACTCCGAATATCGACTCGTTCACTTCAGTGATGATCTTTACACTGAATCAGTATATAATTTGAAGTAAATTGGTCAAGTTTTAGCAACCGGACCAGTGTTACAAATCATAACTGTGTACCAAAGCTGTAAAGTTTCCCTCTACAGGGCTAAAATTATTTAATTAGCTGATTTCTTAATTTAGGGCTTTAGTTTAATCGATATGAAATGAAGGAAAGGTTTTGGGTTATGAAATGTTGCGTGTTTCTCTGGGGGCTGTCACAGGAGTGAATAACAGTGAGTTATTATACTTAAGTATTATTTTGTTGTATTTATACTTTACTAGTGTTATTGGAAATTCAATACATGCACTCTTAACCAAAAAAATATAAATTTTTACTCCATTTTATTTTCAAAGTACGTGTTATCTCGAAGGTCTCTTCTCTCATCCAGCCAGTGACTTATACACTCAGATTAGCGTCAGATCATTTCACTTTAGCATTCAATATCTTGGAGTAATATGAGTAAAGAATCATATAAAATAAAGCGTCTCCTTTAACTCACTAGAAAACATGAACTTCATGAAAAAGCTTGAACATGTTGAGGCATGTTGCGTTTCGCTAATTTGATAACAATAACTGGCTATCTGATAATCCTGATTAGCTGAGACTAGCATCGATTCCAGTAACATGAACTGGCTAGGCAGCACGTTTAACTCTAGCTAATAGTAAATATAGATCATTAACAGGATATTTTACTTTATGACAGTTACAGTTAACTATAGTTATGCACGTGAGCAGCAAACTTACAGAGACTGAATGATGTTTTCATCAAGAACATGACATTAACTTAATTTCATCAGATAAAACATTTATTTTTAATTCAATTCAATTTTATTTGTGTAGCGATTTTAACAATGGACATGTCACAAAGCAGCTTTACAGAAATATATAAGTCCAGGATATAAATTTTAAATGTATGAATTTATCCCTAATGAGTGAGTCAGAGGTGACGGTGGTGAGGAAAAACCTCCTGAGATGATATGAGGAAGAAACCTTGAGAGGAACCAGGCTCAAAAGGAACCCATCCTCATCTGGGTGCAACAGATAGTGCGATTATAAATAAATCCCTTCTATTATTGTGTACTATAAGGACAAATAGTGCAGTTGTGTAACCAGTAGGTTCATCACAGTTTTCTCATGAAGTCCGGATTGTTGAACGTCTCCACCGTCCACTGATGGAGACTTGAGTGCAAAACTGTTGGTGGGAATCGCAGTTCTAAAGCTATCAAAGCTATCTTCATGGTTTCTAAGTGGAACCATCTACAGTAATCTCCTGTAACTTCAGGCTGTCCGTGTTGGAGTCCGTCCTCAGCGGCAGCGAGTGATTTCCAATTTTTTAGGTTTAAAAGTAGCAACTTTCTGACTTTCACTTGAGCACATTTTTGGCTTCCAGTTTAAATTGAGTACGATTTTAAACACATTATCTAGACTCTCGCTTAAGTATCATTTTTCAGTACGTTTCTCCAGCACTGGGGTTTCGATCTGTGACGCTGCTGCGCTATAAAACATCCCTTTACCAGAAAATCGACTGCACAGAGTATAGCGTCCGCGCGTAGTGAATGATTTGAGAGAATGAGGATGATCACACGTCACCTCTGCTGTACTTCCACTCAACCCCCCGCAGCCCGAGTTTTAATAAAAAGTAGATTTTATTCATTTCTTTGCTCACTACAGTACATTTTTCTTGTTTTGTTTTTTTTTTTTCTTCCCAGTTTCAGTCTTGGAGGCTCTTGACATCTGCATACTTTCATGTTTTTTTCCTGCTCTAACACACCTGACTCAAATCATCAGCTAATTATCAACTCCTTCATGAGCTGAGTCAGGCGTGTTAAAGTGGAGAAAAACACCGAAGTGTGCGGAGACAAGCGCAGCAGGAAGGCCGCTGGGAAACGCTACGATACGAGAAAACAGAGAGTCATCAGTGTGGAGAGAAACGGCCGAGATCACTGCGAGATTATTAATATTCATATTCATATCCATTATTATTATTATTATTATTAGTATTATTATTATTAATACTACACAACGGTCAACTGTCTCGCACACAGACACGACACGAGCGCTGGTGGAGTTTCGATGTTCTACAGAGAAATTCACATAACGTTACAGCATGCACAGGCAACTTCAGAAGTATTGGCACCCTTCACACGAACCAAAAAAAAAATCTACTCAAACAATGTTTTTATAAAAACACTTCCTCCATCTAACAAAAAAATATCCTTATCCATATTAAACAATTGTAATTTTTTTCTGCCTGTTTTATTTTTGACTACCTTTGTTCCTTTCTCAGGTTTTACTTCACACTATAAAGCTCTGGGTCAAATGTTTTAAAAGGCGCTATATACATAATGTAATAATAATAATAATAAAAATAATAATGATAATAATTATATATAAAATAATAAAATATCTTTCACACAAAATGCAACAGATACAACAGATTATTATTACTATTATTATTATTATTATTATTATTGTTTAGAGGTTCTGTAGTTTGAGATTTATTTCAGTACTTTATTTTATTTCATTTGATATTTTTTTCTCTGTATTTTAAGATTTTTTTTTACCTGTAGCGGTGTAGTGTCTTGGCCCAGTTGAAGGTGCGAGCAGGTCGACTGATACCGGATTCTAACCCAAAGCAACTTCCTCAGTTTGTGAAGAAATCACTAATGTTCTGATGAAACTGTAAACCTGGATTAGACTTGAGTTTACGACAGGCAGCGGTTGTATCTGAGCGATGAATCAGTGTGTTAAAGTGTACGTTCCTGTTTAAGAGCACTACACGCTGATACTTACACACACACACACACACACACACACACACACACACACACACACACACACACACACTCAGAAAGCCTGTAGCTACAGATGACTCACTGCTGTGTGTCTTATTCAGTGTTCACTTCACTCAGCTGTATTTTTAGCTCTCATTCATTCTGCTGTAATAAAGCGTGTAAAAGCTTTCATTGTGTTTCACTGTGAGCTCTCTCTCTCTCTCTCTCACATACACACACACACACACACACACACACACACACACACACACACACACACACACGTTTACAGTCCACTCCAAATGGCTGACTTCACTGCATAATGCTAACTTTTACTCCTGCTGATTAGGACACTAAATAGACAGAGAGAGTGAGTAGGCGAAGGGGGCGGGGCCAATTACTGTAATTTATCAACGCCCTAATGACAAAATACGAAGTTTATCCCACAGTGCTGATAAATTTTAGGATTTTTTTTGATTGGTCGTCAGGTGTTGATTAGTTTTCTATAACAGCAGCTCTGACAGTAGCGCAGTTTTACATTAATGCGCTCGTTCTCATACGATATCGTTTCTATAGCAACAGCTCATTCACAGGGACGTGTACAGCGGACGCTCCACTTAAACACACGGATTTTAAAAAATGTTGATCTTGAGGTAAGGAGATGTTTATTATGGAATTATGGAAGGAGTCTCCAGTGTCAGCGCTTTGTAACAGTCAGAGGTGAAGCTGTAACTTTAAGTTTTCCGACATCTTCAGGACAGAGGAGTTTACGCTTCTTTGCGGTTTCTCGGTAACATGCGCAACAAGCTGCGTTTTTTGTTTTTTGTTTTATTAACTTCAAGAGAGAGAGAAAAAAGAGAGGCTGGTGAGGGAACGAGTGTTCGTAGCTGCTATAACGTAAGTGACAACAGGAACTAACTTGCTGAATGAACATGAAATGCAACTAAAAACGGATAAAAAGTATGACGTGTCGTACTTGAATAAATAAAAATTGTAATTGTTGGTAAGTTGCTGTGGTGCACACAGTGTTTATTACTTCGTATGTATTTCATATTTATGTGTATTTTTCTCGTTAGTATAATGTATGAGAGAGAATTGTTGGTGTTGTGGTGATTGATTGTGAACACACAGTGAGAGTAACACACTCATCACACCTCTCTGTGTGTTCTCTCCTATGTCCGAACTGAGAATATGTGTGTGTGTGTGTGTGTGTGTGTGTGTGTGTGTTGTTTCATGCTCTCTGAACACTGCTCGGTTGGAGATATCGATCCTAAACACCCTGTAGTGTAAAAGTGTGAACAAGCAGCACTTACACACCTCCCGTCTCCAAAAGTCTGAGTGTGTATCCAAAAACTTACTTTCTCTCAAGAACAATAACAAGATACAGGGCTTTAAAATGGCTGACATCGATTTTCTATTGTAGCAGGAGCCATAACTCGATTTGGTAGAAATCTTAAATACTTAGCATTTCGATGGAGACTTAAAATGCCCGATGCTGAAGTTAAATTCTAATAAAAACACTAACTAGTGCTGAACGCTTAGCATTTGGGACGGAGCCTTAAAATAGTCATTTTTTATGTTCCATTGTTATATGAACCCTATGTGCCAAATAGATATATGTAAATTCTACACCGTGAAAAAAAAAAACCCTGTAAATTTTACAGTAATTTAAAAAAGAACCCGATCTAAAGATGAATTCTAGTGTAAGGATCTGAACATGTGGTGTGTTAAATGTTTAATTCCTTTAGTAAAAATAGTAAAATATGGAGTCTAGTAAAGAAACGGAGCCTCAAAATGGCCGAGTCTTTAAAATGGCTGTGAAAAAAAATCCTGTAAATTTTACAGTAATTTAATGGCAATTTGGGTTCCCAGTAAAGTACTGTAAAATTTACAGTAATGTAAAAAAAAAATTACGTACTGTAATACCTTAATGCTGTATAAAATGACACGTAACCCAGTACACTTGCTCGTTTGGCTGATGCAGGATACAACTGAGCTGAAGGTTACGAGTCCAACCTTGACAATGCTGGGATTTGAACACACAACCTTCTGAGTGATGACCCAAAGCCTTAACCACTGAGCCAATACAACACCACCACAACTAGCTTGCATTGACTCAACTACTTATACCACTGAATTAACGCCACTAAAAGTTGTGCTAGCTGTAGCAGCTCAGAGGTTAGGGCTTCATATCGTGGATAAGAAGGTCACGTGTTCAAATCCCAGCACCACCAAGCTGCCTTGATTGGAGCTCAGCTGTACCCTGAATCAATATACTGGGTTATTTGTTATTTTTTGCTATGTATGATTTTACTGTACATATGTTTTACAGTTGTTTACTGTAAATTTTACAATACTTTACATTACTGTAAAATCTACAGTCATTTTTTTTTACAGTGTAGGGTTTGGAACAGAGCCTTTAAATGGCTGATGTTCTGGTAAGAACCCTAACAAGAGATGGCACTAGAGTGTTGAAATGGCCACAGTTTAATCGGTTTAGGAAAACTAATTAAATATGGAGTCTAGTAATTGAGACAGAGCCTCAAAATGGCCGACACTCCAGTTTATTAAGATAAGAACACTAACTAGATATGAAGTTTGGAACAGAAACTAAAACGTCTATGATCCTATCAAAAAAAAAAAAACAAAACACAAACTAGATATAGATTCTTTATCATCGAATCACCATGTTTGTTTGTTTTGTTGTTCCTTAAATGTGAACAAAGAACAAGAAAATAAAACAGATTTCATTTACACTGAATCTGTCTTACTGTTATATAATGTATTAATAATAATAATAATAATAATAATAATAATAATAATAGTTTAAACGTGGTGTGTGATAAGCTGTTCTTGGTCGTGCATTCTTTGTGTCTTCGCGACTCGGCTGGAGCTCCTGATTTAAAGCGACTCTACACCGTTCATAAATGTGATTTATATGGTGGCGTTGAAGTGGTTTTTATGCTCGGTGTTGTGTTTCAGCAGACGGAGGTCTCTGAGGGTCAGAGTGCTTCCTGACTGAGAGAATGCGGGAAACTCCAGGTCAAAAACACACTTGGCCTCAGTGACTAGCTGAACCTCGTGAACCCGCGGAGCCCTCAGGCGTTACTCAGTTAGTTTTATGTCTTCTTCAGCTGTGTTCATGTCGAGGCTGAGAATAATAAAGACCTTCACCAAGGACGAGACGCTTCGGAGTCAGAGTCAGAATAAGAACTCCACTAAACATCCACACACACATCGGCTAGCTTCTCACAGAGCCTCAGAGCCACAGGTACTGAGAAACATCTACACACACATCAACTAGCTTCTCTCAGAGCCTCAGAGCCACAGGTACTGAGAAACATCTACACACACATCGGCTAGCTTCTCTCAGAGCCTCAGAGCTACAGGTACTGAGAAAAATTTTCACACACACATCAGCTAGCTTCTCTCAGAGCCTCAGAGCTACAGGTACTGAGAAAAATTTTCACACACACATCAGCTAGCTTCTCTCAGAGCCTCAGAGCTACAGGTACTGAGAAACATCTACACACACATCAGCTAGCTTCTCTCAGAGCCTCAGAGCTACAGGTACTGAGAAACATCTACACACACATCATCTAGCTTCTCTCAGAGCCTCAGAGCCACAGGTACTGAGAAACATCTACACACACATCAACTAGCTTCTCTCAGAGCCTCAGAGCCACAGGTACTGAGAAAAATTTTCACACACACATCAGCTAGCTTCTCTCAGAGCCTCAGAGCTACAGGTACTGAGAAACATCTACACACACATCAGCTAGCTTCTCTTAGATCCTCAGAGCCACAGGTACTGAGAAACATCTACATACACATCGACTAGCTTCTCTTAGATCCTCAGAGCCACAGGTACTGAGAAACATCTACATACACATCAACTAGCTTCTCTTAGATCCTCAGAGCCACAGGTACTGAGAAACATCTACATACACATCAACTAGCTTTGCTCAGAGCCTCAGGGCCACAGGTACTGAGAAACATCTACATACACATCGACTAGCGTCGCTCAGAGCCTCAGGGCCACAGGTACTGAGAAACATCTACATACACATCGACTAGCGTCGCTCAGAGCCTCAGGGCCACAGGTACTGAGAAACATCTACATACACATCGACTAGCGTCGCTCAGAGCCTCAGAGCCACAGGTACTGAGAAAACTCACTAGATAAAGAGTCTATTGCTGAAACTCCATTGTAGTCTGAACCCTAACTATTGAAACAATAGAAAAGTCAACATTTACGATTGAGCCCTAAAATGGCTGGTGCTTTATTCTAGTAGGAACCTTAAGTTAATCTTTGGGACAAAGCCTCAAGATAACCAATGTTCCATCCTTATAAGAACCCTTCATACTAACTAGATATAAATTCTAGTGTTTGGGATAGAGCCTTAAAATGGCTGAAGTTCTCGCAAGTCTAGCCAAGAACCTATAGAGCTTTAAAATGACCAATGTTCAGGTTCAATTCTTTCAGGAAAAGTATCAAGATATGGAGTCTAGCATTTAAGATGAAGCCTCTAAATGTCAAATTTTGTTATTAAAAAAAACAAAAACCTTATTGAATATGGAATACTGTGGCATTTGGGACAGGACCTCAAAATGGCTGACATTGTCATTCCATTCTAGCAACACTAACTATATATATGGCATCTTTAGCTACAGCATTTGGTACGGAGTAAGAACACTATCAAGATATGAAGTGGAAAGTTTGGAACAGAACCTTAAAATGGCTGACTTTCTGGTTAGAACCGTAACCAACGATGAATTGCTGTGTTTGGATCAGAGCTTTAAAATGGCCAGTGTTCAATTATTTAAGGAAAATTAACTAGATATGGAGACTAGCGTTATTCTATTCTGGTTACACTAAGTAGTTAGAGAGTCTAGTAATTGGGACGGAGCCTCAAAATGGCTGACACCCCAGTCTAGTAAGAAGACTAACTAGATATAAAGTTTGGAACAGAACCATAAAAGATCTTCTCAAGAACACAGACTAGATGTGGAGTCCATAAAATGGCTGACATCAAATTTTTATTTGTAATAAGTACCGGAACTTGAATTAGTAGAAACCTTAAACAGATGCAGATTTTACTGTTTGGGACAGAGCCTTAAAATGGCTGTCAATGAAATCCAGTTCTAATAATAGCATTAACTAGAGTATAAGTTCCATTCTTATATTTACTACATATAAATTCTAGCATATTGGACAGAATCCTAAAATGGCTGCTGTTCTGGTAAGAACCCGATCTAAAGATGAATTCTAGTGTAAGGATCTGAGCGTTAAAACATTTGGTGTGTTAAATGTTTAATTATTTTAGTTAAAAATAACAAAATATGGAGTCTAGTAAAGAAACGGAGCCTCAAAATGGCCGAGTCTTTAAAATGGCTGACTTTGAGTTTCCATTGTAGTAGGAACCCTAACTCTATTCAGTACAAACTCTAAATAGTTATGAATTCTGGGACAGAATCTTAAAATGGCTGACATTGAAATTCAGTTGTAATAAAAACACTAACTAGAGCGTTTGGGACGGAGCCTAAAAATAGTCTTAAACGTTCTTATAAGAACCCTAACTCGATATGAATTTTACTGTTTGGGACAGAGCCCAGGTTTGTTTTGCTGCTCCTTAAATAATGCACTGACGTTCACTAATCTCCCTGCTAAGTGACAACATGATGTGTGTGCGTGTGTGTGTGTGTGTGTGTGTGTGTGCCTGCAGGCAGCTCATTTTTCTCTGTTCTTTTCCAGTGCATTCACTCAAATGATATCCGGCACTAAGAGGTTTATTAGCGAATAATAAATAACCGCATCAGCAGAATGATGCAACACTTTAATATTTCATCACCGCACCTCGTTTTCTCCGCTTACACGTGGAATCTTTTCACGTCTCTATTCTCTACGATCACATCCCACACGCTAGCAATTAAACAAAAGGCCTCTGTGCTAATAACGTGTGTAAGGACAATGAGCGAGGATTTAATATCGAATAATTATCGTTCGAGTTGTTCTGCTAAAATGAATGACTAAAAGTGTTCTGAAAAGCAATTACTGATAAGCGTTTAATATTAAAGATGACTTGAATGATGATTTTTTTGTTCCTCACTGTGTGTAAAAAGTCGATGAACGTCTACGTGTCAGCGAACAATGGAGGAATGAGGTGAAGTGAGTGTCCACGTTTAACCTCCGTTCATGCGGTGAAAAGAAAGTGCGGCTTTTCTTATCAGCAATTTGTGCAATTATGTCTACGAGAACTCTACACTGTGAGAGCGTAATCTCGTACTGAAGTTTCATCAACGAGACACCAGATAGAAATCTGTCAGAGAAAATTCTCCAAGAATGAAGCGTTTAGATTTCTGTAATAATTGTAAAAATTTCCTTGAATAATGATGCAGTGTGTTTGACTAAACTTACTGTGATATTGTAAATATTTTTTGTGCGCACGTAGTATGATGTAAAGGAATTTTTTATCCTCTCTAAGTTACACGTAAGGCTGAAAACAGTCTCGTAAAACTCATTGGTCAGAAATATGGCAATTTAAGGAGTTAACGATTCACCTGAGCATGAAGAACGTGAAGCTGGCACTAAATACATGATTAGATAATTATATAAATAATAAATGCATATCCAGCATTTATTTTCTCAAACCTCCAGAACACACTGGAGGCTTTTCTGCAGCTCTACAGCTCTGTCCTTCGGCTCAGTTTAGCAGTGCGCTAAAAAAATCTACAAAAACAAACAAACAAAAAGAAAACCCGCAGCATTTTTGATTTCGCTTCATGGAGTCGAGTCGATTCAGAGTCAAATCATTTTCACACTAGAGTTCACTTGGAGTCCACCTCGGGGACGTGTTAATGCCGTGTCCGTGTTGGACAGTTTGTCCTCTACACCACACTAACTAATAACTCCATGTGAGTTTATTGCTCTTTTTGTTGTTTACTCGGTGGTTGGGTTTATTTACGAGCGACATGGCTTCACTCCTCATGCAATCTTCATCACAGAGGCTTTTGTCTTTAAATGTATAATGCATGAAGCCGTTAGAGCTCCTTCAGGCGCAACACAAGGTGATGTATTATTGCATGTTTTTG